CCCCCCCCCCCCACTAGGAGCCCCCTTTTACATCAAAGCCCACTTTCACATCAGAAGGCCCCCATCACATAGGGAGCCCTCTTCACATGAGAAGCCCCCCATCTCACATAAGGAGGCCCCTTTTCATATCAGAGTCCCCCCATCACATTAGAGTTCCCCCTTCATATCAGAAGCCCTCTTCAAATCAGAGTCCTCAGTCCCTCATTCACATCGCAGTCCTACCATCATATCAGGAGCTGCAGCTGTGGCAGCATGGCAGTGGGCGGAAGGCAGAGCAGGCCTGGATGGAGCCACACTTTTCTGAATGGATCCCACCCTCCCTGGATTAGCGTAGTTTTCATGGTGTTGGTAGAAAAAATGAGGCACCCTTGAAGAAGCCATAAGACACCTCAGGGAAGGAAGGCTGGTCTATGACAGGAACAACCCAAAGAGAACATGCCTTGAAAATTGGGACCCGTACACTCTTCCACTACCCCTAAATGGAATTTTTCCATGACAATGCTCCAGCCGGTGCAGCTAGGTACGTACATGTTTAAGCATTGGTTTAGGATTTAGTATAGTGGTAACAGGAGGATGGGTTGGGGTGAAAAATAGGTTAGTTTCCAAATAGGATTTAGATATGCTTCATGGTGATGCATTCTGTCTGCACAAACCCTTTAAGACAAAGGGAAACATCTAAGAACGAAGATGACGGATTTTGCACGGTGCAGGTTTAACTGAACAAGGAAGTGGTGATCAGGGGAAGCTGTGGAAATGAAATGAAGAACTTCAGACTTTGTCCAAAGATAACCTTGCTTTATTCCTTCTGATTAAGAGAATCGACTGCAGTTTTTTCACAGTTTCAAACCAACACTCAATACAAAGCATAATCGGCAGGCAGACTGGTGTATGGTGTGGTTCTGTGCAACTTACTAAGTATGTTTTACTAGGATCTAATATACAGTATCCTGATATCCAGTCGTCCAGTGTTAGACTTAAAGGAAAAATGAATCTTTTTACAACTGGATTTTCATATGTCAATGCAAAATATTAGTTATTCGAAATGCAATCAGCATCTTAGTACACAAACTCTATTCACCATCAACTGAATATATATAAATCCTGGCTTTGCTTCAAAGTCTGTGTTTGCATATATTTGTATGAAGAGACCACTCCTCCAGCTTTCCTGGATGGTATGTAGTCACTAGCATCCCCCTACAAGGTTAACAAGCTAACCACAGGAGAAGCTTGCACTCAGGCAGGGCTTGGACTTAACTTTGAAAATTGATGGCTTCTATAGTGTTGAAAAGCCAAGTTGTGCGCATGGTCTGGAGTACTACTTGTACCTCGCATGAAGGCAGTTAGTATTTTTGGTCACTTATGCAGTATATATTAACTTAAATCTTTCTATGTTTAAAAATGTGCGGTTACATCAGCTTTTATGTAAATAATATTATAACATATTAGAACATATATAATATTATAATTATAAATATTGGTGGGGGAGTGCTAAGATTAGGTTACAGCAGGGAGCTCATGGGATCTAAGGGACCTATAACTATGTGTAATAAATACAGGTTGGCTTTAATTTAGCCCATGCACACAGGCTATTGGTTGAAAGATGCTCTAAACGGTCATTCATCAGTACAGTCAGAGTTTCTTGGGACTGGCTTTATGGAAACAATAGCATTTTTCCAGGAAAACCAAACTCAGTTGATTGATTCTTCTTTTATGTTCAGTCAGCCAGGTTTGCAAACATTCTAAACTACACATAGTCAAGGGTGGGTTAAACATCCATACTCAATCAACCATCCTCCATGTCCATAGCCACCCTGCTGGGTCTTGACCATAAGTCGTCCCCCAAATGTATTTTTAACAATTCCAAACTATACAAACAGTATATACAATATACAGAGCAAGGTCTGGAATAGAAAAGGAGCATGAGAGCTCAGGACTGGAAGCCCAAAGGAGAAGCCCAACTGAGGACAGGTTGGTTTTGCCTGCAGTCAGTCAGGGCTCCTATTTAGGCCACTGAGAACTGAGGAGGACATGCTAAAAAAGCATGTCCTTGCCTCTCTGTGGTGCAACAGATAGGAGGCCCTACCAGACAATTGTCTGAGCTGTGAGTTTAGAATCAGAGGTAGTCTGCGTGTGTGCAGACTGAAGGCCTAAGCCAGAGGCTGAGACACCCAGTCCAGCAGGGAGGCTGGGACAGGAGCTGTGTAGCAAAAAGCCAGGAAGAACGATCTTTGTTGAATATGTATTAATTATTACAGGTATTTATAAGGAGCCTACAATCTGAGGTCCCTATTTCACACACATACAGGGCCAATTTAGATCGGAGCCATTGACCTTCCAGCATGTCTTTGGAGTGTGGGAGGAAACTGGAGTACTCGGAGGAATCCCATGCAGGCACAGAGAACGTGCAAACCCCTTGCAGATAGCATAACCGAAACACGTTATTATGAAATAACCCTTAAAAGAGAACTATGGGGTAACCTTTTTATCCCATAGTTCTCGTAAGGGTCACAGGAGGACATATACTAGCATCCTCCCCTGACCCAAAGCTCAGTATATAGCGAACTACAGCTTGCGGTATACCAAGAGCGCCACAGCCAGGACGGATCCTGAAAATGCTGTCGAGATCCACCCAGCTGCGTGATTGACAGCTGGCTCTGCCTATCTAGAGGCAGAGACAGCTGTGCCCGCCCCCTTCCCATCTGTTCCTTCAGTCAGCGCAGGAGGATCGTAGAGGGGAGGGGGGAATCCCCACGGGGAGCGGTGACTGACAGTCACGGCTCTCTGCAGGGAGATGATTGGAAAGTGAGCGAGCGACGGTATGTGTTCACTCACTTCCCGATCTATAGAGCCGTCGGCTCGAACTATGAGGATGAGCGGAAATCACTCACCTCATAGTTCTCCTTTAAAGGAGAACAATGAGGTGAGAAAAAATCACTCAACCTCATAGTTCGAGCCGACGTGTGACAATGAAACTGTCACACGTCGGCTCAGTAGAAACTGTCACACGTCGGCTCAGTAGGCAGAGCCAGCTGTCAATCACGCAGCTGGGTGGATCTCGACAGTAATGTCGGGATCAATCCCGGCTGCGGTGGCCTCAGTATACTACGAGCTGTAGCTTGCGATATACTAAGCTTTGGGTCAGGGGAGGATGCTAGTATATGTCCTCCCGTGACCCTGAGGATAACTATGGGGAAAAACACTTACCCCATAGTTCTCATTTAAGGGTAAAACTTTTGCTTTGTTTCTGCGTTGATTAATAATGCCCAGGTACGTTTAGGAAGTCCTAAAACGTACCTGGGCAAGTAAGTGGACTGATCTTTAAAAGCTCTCTGTGTAAAGCTTGTGCATCACTATGTTAATATATACTGTGCGTAGATACATATATACAGGTGAAACTCGAATAATTAGAATATCGTGCAAAAGTCATTCATTTAAAACCCCAAGAACCCCAAATCCACAACCTCAAAAAAGTAGCTTATTACATGCAATCAATAAAACAAGGATTGTACATAGAACAATATCAAACCTCTGAAAAGTACAAGCATGCATATGTACTCAGTACTTGGTTTGGGCCCCTTTTGCAGCACTTACTGCAATTACTTTTGCACGATATTCTAATTATTCGAGTTTCACCTGTATATAGTGCAATATAAATGGGTAAGCCGTATTAGTCCAGTAGACAAGATGTCAAAAAAGACAAAAATGCAGTATTGCTTCTGACCTGAAGAAGAGAGGTTCACTCTCGAAAGCTTGTCTTTTATATATTTTGTTAGTCCAATAAAAAAGGTATCATTGCACACTGCAATACTGCGTTTTTGTCTTTTTTGACATTATATATATATATATATATAATGTGTATGTATAGATATACACACACACTATATAATATAAATTTTTTTTTCTTCTTTTCTGCTTGATTTAGTGAAGTATACACTCAGCTGTGTCTAACATTTCACCCTGCAATATGTACATGTAGTGCAGCTATATCACTGGATGAAAGGCATTCATTATTCTCTTACCACAAAAGTTCTGTTGGTGGCCCCTATCACAGTGACACCATTTCGGAACCACTGGTAACGGGGCAGTGGCCTCCCCACTGCACCACACTCCAAAACCAGTCTGCTCCCCACAAGAATTTTTTGGGGTTGTGGTTGGTTGCAGATTTGTAGTTTGTCATCAGATAGTCCTAGGAAAAGAAAATATGGCATGTGATATTTGAAACTGAACAAACAGCTAAATACACCATTGAAATGTATACCGGAGTGTATTTTACCTGTATTCCTCTCCATCTGCCACACAGCACAGCAAGCTTGGTCCCCTGACCTTTTCCTACTGCACAACACACCTGGACCCCCAAACCCTTGGCTGGACAGTAAAGGAGCAACAGTCAGATGGGACTATCTCTATGCTCTTGTCATACTACTGTCACCATGTCCCTTGTCAGCATATTTGCATACAGCACACTAGATTGGTCCCAAGTGCTCCCTACATCTCCTAGTCTGAGTGCTGCTGTGTAGAAGGTAACAGAAGGCTGAAATGAAGTTATATGCATGTATTCACACCAGAAGTAATTAAAGCTGAACTCCTTCCCTTCAGTCTTGCACGGTTGTACCGGCTCCTCTCCTGCACTGAAATGGCTTACTCTGATTTCACTGCACACTGTGAGCTTCTCACAATGTGCAATCGAAGTCAGATAGGGCCCGCCTCATTTCCTGGCTGGAGCATCATCTAGCCCTTTCCCTCCCAGCCTGGCTGTCCAAGGTCTACCCCTTCCATTCATTTAATTAATTGGATTTCAGTTCTTTCTGGAGGCTCAGTGTTAGCTAGAGAGGTCTGTATGCAAATGCAGCCTGCACAGGAACGCCCACTCCTCCATACAGACATAATCCCATCAAGTATTTTGACATCTGATATTTGCATAGCTCCCCCCAAGAGCCAGCCCACTGCTTGCATCAAGGCTGAGGGCTCCAGAGAGAAGTACTGAGGCAAGGTGCTGTGATGTTTTCAGAAAGCTATGTACAGCAGCCTGCCGGCCCCTCCCACCAGCCATGATCTGCCTGCAGGGCACAGGGAAGTATAGAGACCCAGTGATGACATCATTGGCTCTAAAATAAGGAATGTCATGAAAACGGAAAGGTTTTATTTAAAAATGTCATTAGCATGTTGATGAGGGGAAATAAGGAACCAGGAAGGCAAAATATAAGCTGATTACATTTCAATGACAGAAGTAAATATTGCGTTCGTTGGTATTTTAACATCTGCCTGGAGTTCAGCTTTAGAGACAACGTGCCAGACAGAAATAATGGAGCTGCCATTGACTTGTGTTTGGCGGTACAGGCTCCAGAGCTGTCATACCTGTCCAGTCACTGACTCACAACAAGCGTGTGCAAATCACTTCGTTTTTCCAGGTCAGTGATTCACAATAGTAAAGAAATGGATAACGATGACAAGCCTGATGACTGCACCATCAGAAATAAGTCAATGGCAGCTTCCATAGTTCTGACCTGACAGGTTCATTGTAAGTGAAGCCAGGAAAATACATACAGACCTATACACCGATCAGCCATAACATTATGACCACTGAGAGGCGAAGTGAATATCATTGATCATCTGGTTGCAATGGCACCTAGAAGTGGGTCAGAGAAACTCCAAAACAGCAACTCTTGTGGGATGTTCCCAGTCTGCTGTGGTCAGGACCTACCAAAAGGGGTCCAAGGTGAACCGGTGACAGTGTCATGGGCAGCCAATGCTCATTGATGTGCATGGGGGGTGAAAGTTGGCTCATGTAGTCCGATCCAATATAAGAACTACTGTAGCTCAAATTGCTTAGAAAGTTATTGCTGGTTCTGATACAAAGGTGTCTAAACACACAGAGCATACCAGTTTGTTGTGTACGAAGCTTCGTTGCCGCAGACCAGTTGGGGTGCCCATGATGGCCTGTGTCCACCACCAAAAGCACCTATAATGGGCAGTTGAGCATCTGAACTGGACCACAGAGCAATGGAAGAAGGTGGCCTGGTCTGATAAATATTTTTTTCTTTCACGTCATGTGGATGGCCGGGTGCGGGTGCGTCAATTACCTGAGGAAGAGATGGCACCAGGATGCACTATAGGAAGAAGACAACCCGACAGAGGCAGTGTGATGCTTTGGGCAATGTTCTTCTGGGAAACCTTGGGTTCCTGTCATTCATTCCACTTCAAGGTGTTGAGAAATTCTCCAAATCTCAATCCAATGGAGCATCTGTGGGATGTGCTGGAAAAACAAGTCCCATCAATGGAGGCCGCACCTCATAACTTAAGGGACTTAAAGGATCCGCTACTGACGGCTTGGTGCCAGATACCACAGCACACCTTCAGAGGTCTAGTGAAGTCCATGCCTTAATGGGTCAGAGCTGTTTTGGTGGCAAAAGGGTGACCTACCCAATATTAGGCAAGTGGTCATAAAGTTATGGCTGATCAGTGTACATCTTTACACTGTTTCCAGGGCTGTTTCTAGGTGCAGTGCACCAAAGCCAATGTCAAGGTTTAACGGTTCTTCCTTTATTCTAGGAAAATTGAGAAGATGCAGACAGACCATGTGAATACAAAGAAGCAAATCTCTCTAAAAACTGTAAATCTCCTTAAATAACTCCTAATGGTCTGTGACATTTTATTTGCTGTGCGATATATTTAATGTGCAGAGCTCTCTCTACAGGTCTACAGATCGTCTTTGGGAGCCAAGGTTCATTGCATCTCCTTCGGCTCGCCGGGTAACTCACCGTGACAGGCCAGATTGCTTTCAATAACATCCAGCTGTGCCCAGTTACTGTAATGATAAGAGTGACTGTTGTTTACTCTGCAGATGTATAAGCCGACATCATTCACATCCACGGGGTTAAATGCCAGATCCGATGAATTTCCGTACGGTACCTGGGTCAGGTAATGAAACAAAACCATAAATCATGAGGTTGCATGTCATATGCATGGACCTATGCATCCCAACATTACTTAGGCCCTCCAGCTGTGGTTTACCTATAAATCCCAACATGCTTCTGCCTCTGGGAGCCATGACAGTAACTGTCAGTCTTGTAATGCCTCATGGGACTTGTAGTTCCACAACAGCTGGAAGGCAAGAGTTGCCCACCCTTAACTTAGGGGTCTATTTGTAAACAATTGGCATGGCTAATAGATAATTGTTCACAAATAGGCCACCTAAGCAATGTCTTATATACGATTTTATGGCTGGTTTGCATCTACTCAATGGGGTCTATTTTTAAACAATTCCCAGAGTCATTTGCCATGCAAACCTCTATTACCGGTCATTCTGTGCAAATGGATGCAAAAACGAACATTCTTAGTATATATTTTTTTTCAGGATGAATGTAATATTTGGAAAATACCTAATTACAGCCACTAGATGGCGGTGAGGAGCAAAATAAATACATACTTCTTTCCTATGCTCCTCAGCTCCATCTAGTGGCTGTAATTAGGTATTTTTCAAATATTACATTCATCCTGAAAAGAACATATACTAACAGGTCTATTCACTAAAGGGTGAAGAGTTTGTAGAAGGCAGGAGAAGGGAACAATCTAGGACAACATAGCTGAGCTGGAAAGTGAGCTGAATTGGAGAATTTTTCCAAATCAGCTATTTTGGCCTAGATTGTTCACTTCAACCTTCTCCAAACTCTTCACCCTTCTGTGAATAACCCTGTAAGAATTTTTGCCATTTTTGCCTCCATTCGCACAGAACGAACATTTGCAGAGAGTCGCAGTACAAATGGCTCTGCGAATTGTTCATAAATAGAACCCATTGTGAAGATGCAAACCAACCATTTAATTTCATATAAGCTTTAAGATGTTAATGTAATTTAACCACCTTAGTACCAGAACATTTTTTTCATATTGCACACACATGTTAAAATCTGAATTTTTGAATAGAAGATTAGTTTAAACCCTCAAACAATTCTATGTTTTCTGAAAGCATAGGCCTTGTAGAATAAAAAAAGCTAGCTGAATTTTTTTTATGTTGCGCGATATTTGTGGGAATGCTTGTCAAAGCGAATATAGTTTTAGGGGAAAAAAACACTAAAATTCATTTTAGTGCACGCAAACACAATACAATACCCATTTTTTTGTTAAAAAAATAAAAGTGGGGTCATGTCAAGTAAATAGATACCAAACATCTCAAGTGTTAATATTGTGAATGCCCGGGCAATGTTGAAAACGTTGAGTTGGCACCCATCGCAAGAGAGTTTGTTTTCATTTTTATTTAAAAAAATGTTTTTATTTTAACACTTTCTAATTTTTTTTCAATTAACTTTATTGCTATTACAAAGGGACTAACAAGCCTGTATGTGATAGAGTTTGGAGGGGACAGGTTCTCTTTATGTAGACATCAGGGGCCCTGCGTGACAACGCAGGAGAGACAGGGAGAGATTTAGGTGTTTGGATTAACATATACTTTTACCATTTTCACTGCTGACCTCTACTTCCTATTTTGCACCCCAGTGTATTGCGGCTGGGTGCCTGCCATAGTTAACTGGCACCGCAGGCACAGGAAGGGCGTAGTGTATAATGCCTTCAAGGACCGCATTCCTATCAGATGTTTTATTATGTTTTTGTTATTGTTGTTTGAATGTTTTGTGTTATTATAATAATAATAGGTGCTACAACCATTTTGAAAGCCAAGCAAGAGTAAATTGTGTTCCTTTGGGTTGGGCAATGGGGTATTTGGGTGTGATGGCCAGCAGTAGGTTCAAGGGACCAGGTGGCATCTAATCTCCCCTGGTCATGAGGAAAGGCAGCCCTGAGACTGACTGTCTCTCTGTCACATCTGGGAGTTAGTGCTCTGTCTGGAGTCCTGCCCAACTCACTGACATGACTGGTTGCTAGGAGCTGGGCGGGACGTCCTGCCACGTGACCCAGTGAGATGCTGCCTGAGGCAATGAATGTGAGTTACATGCTCCTCCATACCAGGAAGTACCAGGTATCTTTTTCACTTCCATTGGATGCATGAAGAGGCAGGGATTGAAAGAAAGCTTGTACTGGGGAGGTGGGCTATAAATTGAAAATATTTTATTTTGAATGTAAAAAATACAGGTACACTTTAAAGCAGGGCTGGGCAACTCCGAACCTCCACCTGTGCTTTAACTACAAATCCCAACATGCTGCTTCTGGTAGTTATATTCGTCAATGTCAGTCTTGCAATGCCTTATAGGCCTCCATTTTCCACAACAGCTGGAGGGCCGGAGTTGCCCACCCCTGCTTTAAAGTATCTTCACTCAGTGCGTGTCTCCTGTGTCTGAGGAGCAAATGTTCTTACCCTTCCACGTCATTAAACTGGCCCTGACTGCTGCGTAGCTATAAAAGAGGCAAAGATTGAAATAAAAGCTTATACTGGGGAGTTTGGCCATAATTTGAATGTATTTTATTTTGAATGGAAAAACACACAGGTACACTTTAAATCAGGGGTAGCCAAACTCCGGCCCTCCAGCTGTGGTGAAACTACACCTTTCTGCATCTCTCTCCAGGAGTCATGCTCGTGGCTGTGAGAATCTTGCAATGCCTCATGGGATTTGTAGTTCCACCAGAGCTGGAGGGCCGAAGTTTGGCTACCCCTGCTTTAAATTATCATCACTTGTCTCCTGTCCCAGAGGAGCAAATGTCCTTACCCCTCCACATCATTAAATTGGCCCTGACTGCCTTACAGATATAAAATAAAAATCTCATTGCTATGGCTCATTTTTGTTTCATGCTCATCTCCTTTTTATAGTCAGTACAAGGGAGTAGTCATTACCTCTTTGTCCATTTTGAACCACTGGTAATTAACAAGGGGGTGACCAGTTGCTACACAGGAAAGCTTGACCATTTGTCCAGACTGGACAGCCCCTGACTCTGGTTGGACCACCACTTTTATCCCTGAAAAACAAACAGCTTGAAACATTTTACATTACAGAAAAAAGGCAATATCTCAATTATCAAACATTTAGGGGGTTATTCACAAAAGGGTGAAGAGTTTGGAGAAGGCAGTAGAAGGGCTTCTAGATGATTTGGAACAATTCACCAATTCGGCTCACTTTCCAGTTCAGCTATGTTGTCCTAGATTGTTCACTTCTCCCGCCTTCTCCAAACTCCTCACCCATTTGTGAATAACCCCGATAATGACCAACCCTGCCCAAAACTAAACTAATATGCCATTATTGTGCATTTGCTGGAAAGCTGAATAGTATGGTGGCCTCTTATGTACCCCCCTTGGACTTCAGTATTACGATATATTTACCAGATGCCCCAGTTATGCCATTGTTTTTTTTAGCCACTACAAAGTTGCTGTCAGACTCTTCCAATGGAAACTGCACAATGTAGAATGAACAAATAACTATGAAAATCCAGATGTTTTAGTTCTTGAAGGAGTGGATGATAAAATCTTAGCATTAGACTATAAATATAAGAGGCCAGCAAGAGATTGAACTCCTTGGTGTCCATCTAAACTATAAAATCAGTTACTAGAAAGAGCTTCTATATAATACGTTCATGACTTATTGGTGACTAAAGACTGGAATAATTCCAGTTAACAATTTTGTTCTTGGACAGCTACAGTAGGTTCTGGCATGCCATTGGAATTAGCAAAGCTCAATTTATTGAAGGAACATAGCCATTAAAAAACAAGCGCTTTTGGGGCCACTCAGGATACCCTTCATCAGGCTCAAAATGACAATTCTGATTCTAAGCCTGATGAAGGATACCCTGTGTGGCCCCGAAAGCGCTTGTTTCTGAATGCCAATGTTCCTTCAATTTTTGCTGATTCAACTTTGAAATTTGGTGTGCTGGTGACATCCTTTGAAGATTTTAGTTTTGTGATGGTGCATTCCTTGGTCGTAGTAAGCACCCACCTGGTTTATCAGGTTATTAGTTTTATCTATATATCACTGGCATGTCATTGGTCACAGAATAACAGATAGCCAGGAACAGCCCAGCATTCACAATCTGTTATTGTTTTGTTTAGGGTTAGTGTGAGGATACAAGGATTAAAACACACCTGGAGGTTTCAGGAGCTGAATGGCATTAGACTGGCCAATGCTTTGTAGAAGATCTGTCAATTCCTTTGTTGTACATCCTTGGTCTCCTATTAGTCTTAGCAGACTGCGGGCAGGGCTTCCTGCGGGCTCCATGACTTTCAGGGAACATTGGTGAAGCTCCGTAGAACTACAAATGAAGTTATTTATTCAAGGTTAAACTGGTGTATTCGAGAATAGAGAAAATACATTGTATATACAGCGAGTGAATATTTGAATTATTATTGAAGTGCAACCAAATTTCTTTCTTTTGTTTACAATGGAGAGATTAAGGATTTTTTGTTTTACATTTTTACCCCAGAGCAACCCTTAAAATAATGTTTTGGTCTTGAGGAACACCTACTAAAACCAATTCACTGGGGCCATTGAAACAAATGCACCTTATATTGGAAAGAATTACAGTGGTGATCTGAATGCCACTCCTACAGATAGATAAAAAGATCATTGGTGTCACGGGCACTTGATTGCATTAAATGGGCAGTTTGATCAATAATTACTTCCATCTGTTCCTTGTGGCGATTCCAGTGGCCTCTCTGCAGGGGTCTGATACACCCCCTGCTTAATCAGAGCTAGAAAGACCACTGCTTACTAGGGTTGCCACCTTTTCTTTCATCGAAACCCGAACACACTAGCGACGTACAGAATTTATTTTTGGGAGAATGAGTCGCAGCTTATTCATATATAAATAGCGTCACCCATTCATGTGTAAATATCACAGTGAAGACTATTTTCAGTGGGGTGCCAGTAGCCCTGTCTGCCTGACATCATGTGTCCAGGTTTCAGCGGCCATGAAACCCGGACCCAGCATTCAAAACCTGGACTGTGCGATTCAACTTTGTCCCGGACAGCTGGCAACCCTACTGCTTCCACACAGCTGCAAGGAGACCATTGCTTCCACACCAAGAGCAAAGAGAGTCCTATTCTACAGCATGTCGGAAGAGGACAGTTTTTTCTACTTAGGCTGTGGCAACTTTCGAAAAGAAAACAGACTTTGCACACCTTTTGTTTTGCTGCACCCAGGATATATCTTGCTCATTTAATCTGCAGGTTCAGCTGGCCTTTAGTGAACTAGCCCTAATAATGTTTCTGTATAGACTGTTGGGCTAAGTCTACCACTGCATTAGACCCATTTTGTAAATAGCTATTTCTATTTTCACAGGCTGGTGTGGGGTTTGAGTGAAATTCATTGTTTACTAGCTGTGTTAGTTAGCAGTTGGTTAGTCGCTGTGATGGGGATGTGAGTTGCTTATGGTTGGCTGGATTCAGCAAAGCTTGTCTTGGGCTGAGTCTATTTTTAATGAAGAAGAAGTTATTTTTCTCTGAGAAAAACCACATATGTTCAAAGATTTATACCACAATATGGACGCAATCTCTAAGAGGTTTGTGACACTATCCTGTTTCCACTTACTGTACAGTGGAAAGGATGGCGTACCATGAAGATGCCATCTAATGCAGTCAGTAGCCTGCCTACCAGTCACTGAGAAGGCAACATTGTAGTGGAATATTTTAAACGTTTAATCAGACCAATTCTTTCACAAAAGTTTTATTGAAAACAGGCAAAAAACATCATATAAAAAGGGCAGTATCTGTATGATGTGTCAAATGCATAGAATAAAGAGAAAGTGAAAGGCTAATGTCATCAGTATTAGGACATACTGGCCGGTCGTGGGCAGGGGACCATGACCCCCTATATAAATCCCAACTTGGCACCAATACTAAATCCGAAGATCAGAAGGATTAACTAGTGTGTTGTCTCATTCAGCAACAGTATAAATTAACAACAAGCTATAACATAGTTCCCCTCGTAGAAAAAACAAAGAGGAGAACTAAAGAAAAAAAAGAGAGAAGAAAAGGAGAAGAAAAAGATAAAGATGAGAAAGAAAAAAGTAAAGATAAGTCAAGATTGAAATATATAGGAAAGGAAGTATTATTATACAGGATTTATAGAGCGCCAACAGTTTGCGCAGCGCTTTACAATATAAAGAAGACATTACAATCACAATACAATTCAAGACAAGATGGTAGGGAGGACGTAGATATGTAAGATTTGGGCAGGGGGGTTTATTTGAATCTGGGTGTCCAGCGGGCCAGGGTTGTGGGAAAGAGGCCCTTGTCCTCATCAACGTGGAGACAAGGTGCCTTGCCAGGGAGTTCTGGCATGGTCCAAGCATAGACAATTAAAGATCCAGCAGTGAGGGATCAAGCCTGGAATAGTGAGCATAAGAGATCCGTGGTTGCCAGATAGAAAGAAATTTATCAACCAGAATTGCAGTTCAGTTGGGGCGATCCAATACCAAAGTGTGAAGAGCAATAATTATATGCAGAATAAAGTATTTTAAAACAGTCAACTATATCCGAGTTCAAATCAGTTATCAGGGAAACTAATCAGTTGCATCAAAGTTATTTTAGACTAGTAGCTCTGGGTTACTCCAATTTGCACAATGGCATTGCTGCTCGAGGCCCATACATAACCGTGGTTTGGGGTAACATTCAGAATGCTCAACTAAAGTAGCGGGCAATGCAATGCCCGCTGCAGCACTCCACATCACACATGCCATACATTGTTGTGTCTTGCATTTATACAAAAGTATTATGTTTTAAGGTGCGCTGCCTGCCCATTTCAAATGAATAAGCTTCCTTCATGCAGCACACTTTCTTGTATGATGCCTTGTTTTAACCGATGCTTGTTAAGGTAACACTTATTGTGAAGAGGCCCTGAACTTTGCAAGGTGCTGAATTACAAAGAATCCTGTAACCTAATAATCTTAAAAATGCATTCAAGTGTCCCAATAACAAAAATGTATCTTATTTGTGTGTCACTCGGCTGTAGATCCTCAAATCATCTCTGAATTGGTGCTGACACTGTCCTTCCTTCTGGAGGGTGGATACTTTTGTTCCCCCTGGTCCCTGTGTGTGTTGTAGTCACCGCTCCAAGCTCACTCCCGTGATGGACTACAATCTCAATACGAATTAGTAAACTAAACATGAGCTTGTAGTCCATCATGGGGGTGAGCTTGGAGCGGTGACTACTTTACAACACGCACGGGGACCATGGGGAGCAAAAGTAGCCACCCTCCAGGAGGAAGGACAGTGTCAGCACCAATTCAGAGATGATTTGAGGATCTGAAGCCGAGTGATAAACAAATAAGATACATTTCTGTTAATAGTTAAGGTGCCTGAGCGTATTTTTTCTGGAGGGGGGGCTACTTTTGTTCCCCATGGTCCCTGTGTGTGTTGTAAAGTAGTCACCGCTCCAAGCTCGCTCCAGTGATGGACTACAATATCATGCTTAGTTTTCTCATTTGTATTGAGATTGTAGTCAGCTTCAAGTCTGAAGCTGACAGCTTTTTCTCCATTCAGATCGGCAACAGGTTACAGAGCAGAGAAATCCTCCCCGCTGTATTGTAATGGAAATCAAGTAAAATGACCATTTGTTTTAATATATATACAGGTGAAACTCGAATAATTAGAATATCGTGCAAAAGTAATTGCAGTAAGTTCTGCAAAAGGGGCCCAAACCAAGTACTGAGTACATATGCATGCTTGTACTTTTCAGAGGTCCGATATTGTTCTATGTACAATCCTTGTTTTATTGATTGCATGTAATAATCTACTTTTTTGAGGTTGTGGATTTGGGGTTCTTGGGGTTTTCATGAGCTGTAAGCCATAATCATCACAATTATGACAAATCACGGCTTGAATTATCTTGCTTTGCATGTAATGAGTCTATCTCATATATTAGTTTCACCTTTTAAGTTGCATTAGTGAAATAAATGAACTTTGCACGATATTCTAATTATTCGCGTTTCACCTGTATATGTATGTATATATGGACATAACCAATCAGAAGCTCACGACGCTACGCTCACATGACCTTGGCACACAGCACTAGAAATAAACCTTCGTGCCTTACCGTAATAAACAGAAGCGTCATAGACCTACCACTTGGGGGGGGGGGGGGGTTATTTTTTACTATATAATGAAAAAAGTACTGGCATTTTTGGAAAAAAAAACAGTTTTCCCTAAGTTATGTAGTTAAACAATTATTATTACCCCAATTTGGTAAAGTATAAAAGGTGAGGGTCACGTCGGGTAAATAGACACCAAATATGTCAAGCTTAAAAATTGCACGTGCCTGCGAAGTCACAAAAAACTATCACACCCAAAATCGGCCGCTCATCAGTTTAGTGTTAACAGTGATTGACGGCCCTCAAAATTATTACTCACACTCCAACGCAGTGATATGTAACATCTGCGGCAAAATGGGCATTTTCGCATGTAGGCGCACCTGACACATGTTTGCGTGTGTATGTGGTAGTGGGGGACTTTCTTTTTGTGTTTTTGAACAACATGTTTATATGTGACTTACATTTCTTTTTTATGCTACTTACATTTTTTTACAATTTTTTTTTACACTTAACTTAATTGGCATCACATAGGGGACTAACAATCCCCATATGTGATAGCCAATATACAGTAACAGGTCCTCTTTATGTAGACATTAGGGGTTTCTACGACCCTTAATCTTCCCTAGGAACCCCCAGAGAAGCTGATTAAGCAGAGATCTGCTTTATCATCTTCCCTCCGGCTTCTGTAGCTGGAAATGACAGCCTGCATTCGGGGACCGCAGTGGAGATCAGAGGGAGTTTGTGTACTGATTTCCCTCTGATCTCCGGTCACAGAGCCACTGTGCCTGCATGGAGCAGAGGAAACCTGGAATTGGGGGCCGCACACCCTCATGCAAAATACAAGCAATCGGGCAACTCTACAGCCACTGGAACGCTTGCATTTAAACAGCCATCCCTGGCTGTCTCAAATTTTAGCAGTTTTCCCACTCATGCCCACTGGGCGGCATGCACGAGTGGGGGCGGGGAAGGACATCTTAAAACACCCACCAACATCTAGAAGGCTCCTGCCCCACCGTTTATTATGACCAGCTGCTGGAGGGAAGCATTTAAAACTAATTTATTGGGTGTCAGTGGGGAAAAATGTCGCTTACATTGGCGGTCACTTGGAAAAATAAAACCCTTACAGTAGTGGTCATTGGTGTCATGTTGATGGCTCTGCTACGTGTCATTGGCCCTAACACTATGCAGGCACCATCAAATGGGAGGTCAATCAGCCACAGCT